TTTGGTGGCCACCTTGTTGATGACGGCCACCGCCGCTTTCGCCCTCTCCTGCACGGACACGGGAGCCTGGGGGGCATTTCCCCCCACCGGCTCCCGAACCTTGAGCAGGAGATCCGCGATCTCCTCCTCCGCTACGGCCTCGCCGTCCACCCGTACGTTCCTGTACGACTCCGCGTTGGAGAACGCGGAGCCTGACGGGATCGCGACCGAGGCCGGTTTGCGCGCCCTCCCTCGGCGGCTGCTTGCCACCTTTGGTGGCATCATTTCGCCGGACGTGTCGGTTTCCACGTCCCCTGAGCGTCCGCGTTTCCGGCTGTCGCTCCGCTCCGCTTCCATGGCCTCCGCGCCATCCGATGAAGCGGCGGATCCGGAACGCAGCCGATCCGATGCTCTTCGGCTCCCAGAGACCAGCGTCAGACTGACTTCTGGGAGCCCCACCGAGATAGGCGTTCCCGACGCTATCTCACCCTCCGTGGATGAACCATCCACTCCACTGTTCCTCTTCTCTTGCATTTCAGAGTCCGTTTTGCTTGCCTTTTTCTTTTGTGATTGGTTTTCCGATCGTTTTTTAATATTTTTGTTGATATTTTCCATGATAAATCCCACGAGTGGGGGAGAACTAAAGGTCCACCCGGGCAGAGATCCCCCATTACCCGGGCAAGCGTAAGTTTTTAACCCAACCGAGGGGTCCGCAGGTACCTCGGCTTGGAGTGCGCTCGCGACTGAACTTCCCATCAGCCATGCATCCCCTGGCCACGCACCAGAACACGGGATTCGGGGAATTTTTTAGAGAGGTTATCTTCCTCGCGGTCCGGGCGGTTAAGCCAAGACCCTCGCCCCCGATCAGAGCCGCGAGACTTAACCACAGCGCTCTTCTCGGGATTACGATATGCCGACGGTTGACAGGGAGACTACGTCCCCCTGCCTGCTCGGTGGTAGTGTGAGTACACGCCGAGCCCGTCCTCCTTTCTCCACCGCTGTCAGCGGAGAAACTGTGGCCCCTACAGGGCCCCGCCATCAGGTTTTTTACCGAGGTTTCCTCCTCCATGCTCCGAAGAGCGAAGAGCCAGCAGGGCAACCGGCAGACACGCCCACCCTGCTGGACCAGGCCTTGCCCGAGAGCCGATGAACGGCTGCCTCTTCTGCTAGAATATTGGCCGCTGGCGATAATCCTCTCCTCCAAGAGGACAAGGAGGGAACAGTACCATCGCCAGCGTTTCCAGGGTGCACCACGAGGAGGTTTTCTAGCCCAGCACCCCAAACCCTATACCAACCCGTCTGGCCATCGTGGTATAGTAGGCCAAACCCTCCTTTCTAAGGAGAGGCCTATGTCCAGCAGTGGACTGCTATAGGCTGTTGATGAGGTGTATCTTTTTTACCCACTCTGATTTCAAGTGTGGCCGTTTGCAATCGGCTTAAGTTGGATCCAGTCTTTAACAGATAAACCCTTTTTAAATGCGTGATTCAGGATTTGCACCACGAAGTAGTTCTTTGTCTTTTAATTAGATGGCGTTGAACTAAATTACCAACCCGGTCCTCTCTCAAAAATACTCAATCAAAAGTCAATATCTAAATGTTTCACTGTCCAGCTAGCAATTGAATCCCTTTCATACATTTTAACCAGTCCACTCCACTCACAACCCACCATTTGTCTCCCGTTAAAAGCATTGCCTGTTGTATATTTATAAGCTTTGATAGTGGTCGGACACTAGACTTTAACACACGAATGGGAGATTGCGTTTTATTGAGTTCCGTGGAAACAATATCTTTGAGTATTCTGAGACTGGTTTTAGTGGCGGCGACTGTTGCGAGCATCTTGTATATAGCTTTGATACCAGGTTTTAAAATACCGCCGGTTATGTAGAGGAGTAGAGGAGGATAGTAGGCCAAAACCTCCTTTCTAAGGACAGGCCTATGCAGTGGACTATTAAAAGCTGTTGATGATGATGATGTAGAGGAGAGTGAAGACCAGTTACAGAAAAATGATTAATATATATTAATGTATAACATTAACATATAATTAATGTATAACATTAATATATATTAATCATATTTCTCTAACTGAACTTATGAAGTGGCAGAGTTTGTTGTTTGTTGAAATGCACTATTCTCTGAAAGTATTTGTCTTGTATGTATTTTTGGAATAAATGAAAAAGAAAATGTTTAAGTGAATGTAACTTAGATTGAATTCACAGAATCCAGTGAATAAACCGGCGACTCAAATGTTTGTTTATCAATATTCTTCTATTATTTCTTTCATCCATATTAATGAGCTTTAGTGTCAGACACCATCTTATCACACTTTTCATAACTTTAATTTGAAATCAGCGTCATGATGCAAATAATTGAATTCTGCCCAATATTAACACTTTTCAAGAAAGTAATAGTTTTTAGATAGAACTAAGAGAGAAGGTATATAGCGGGCTGGAACACCGATTTGATAAGGAACTAGGTAAGAGAGTAAGTCTGGAAACTGGCACTGAGACTGCAGTAGCTTGAAGAGGGTCCCGGGCTTGAAGAGGCCATCAGGTTGGAAGAGGCCATCAGGGATGAAGAGGCCGTCAGGCTTGTAGAGACAATCAGGTTTTTTTTATGGAATAGGGATCAAACGAGCAGACGTGTCACCTGATGGAAAGCGACTAACGCCGCCCATGAATGCCTGCAACTCAGGAGACAAGATTTAAGAGTACATGGACATCGACTTGCCAGTGTCAAAAAGATAGTTTGCAAAATTTACAAAAAACCTACTAGTACCAGAAATAATAGGATTTCTGTCTTTACTCTATATAAAGAAGAATTCTACTGTTTAGTTAATCTCAACTATAAAATAGTATTTAATGCGATTCGCACTGATTTCTTCAAAATGAAGAAAAAAATAACCCAAACATTTCATTTCTTGCCCAATTTTTTAACTACGCTTTGATCTCTTTCATATCTTTGACAACCTCATCTTTCCAGTGGTATTTGAAAAGAAATATCAGATATTAAAGAGATCAAAGTGCCCGATTGGCCTAAACTAGGACAGAATAGAAAAATATGGCGTGTTTTAATGTTGGAGGCCAAAACACATTTTAGGTCTCTGAGCCAGCGAAGTAAGTAAGTATTTATACTTTAGATCATTTATAAATTATATATATAAACTTTTATTTGAAATATTTAAATCAAAGGAAAAAGCGTACTCCTTCCTAAAAGGCAGGCAACGCGTTTCTGACTCCTGAGTTGCAGACGTTCATGGGCGGCGATGGACACATTCCATCAGGCGACCCGTCTGCTCGTCTACCCCGTTTAACATAAAAAAGGTAGGTACGAGTAGGTACCTATCATACTTATCTCTATACCTATACCTTGTAGAGTACAGTAATTTTTAGTATCGAAAAAAATCCAAAAAAATAATTCCAAAAAATTGAGGAATAAAGAAAGAAATATAATAAATAGGTACCTCTAATAACTATTTAAATTCTACTAACTAATAATTATTTAAATTCTAAATTTAAATCAAAACGAGCTAACCTTACAGTAGTAATACTGTAAGGTTAGCTCGTTTTGAGTACGGACCTGTCGGTATGGTGGGCCGGTGGTCGGGGTTCGATTCCCACCCGGGACAAGTAGTTGTGTGATAAGCGGGTTAGTTGGTGCAGTGTCTGGGAGTGGTTTGTCTGTGGTGTGTGTGTTTGGAAGTATATGAGTGTGTTTGTCGGTCCAGCTGCCGAATTGCGGGCGGGATGAGTAAGGTTGTTAAAATTGTTTATGTAATAGGTATTATTTATTACTATACTATATTATATTACTATATTATTTATTACCTAATACAATGGCTACACTATTGTATTAGGTAAAAAACCTGTAAAAATAGTTGTATTGTTTGTCATAAATAAATAAAAATATTCGCATACGATGTGTACATCTGACATTTCACCTTCCATCTGACAGCTAACTCTAAAGCCGCGCGGCTGATTGGTCAAATTAAATAACACGCGCTTTAATTGCTTCCTGTTACACAATTCCGTCCCCATTCACGAAATCACTCCCAGAGTTTAAAGCAAAGCAATAGAAAAGTGGTTACACATAAAAAAAGATATATCAAACGAAACTTGACTGCACGGAAGGCGTAGTGGTTTAAGCGGTCGCAACGCCGCTTAATACTACGCTAGTATTGTGGGTCCGATCCCCACATGGGATGACACTTTGTGTGATCCACAAATTGTTGTTCTAAGTCTGGGTGTTCTTTGTGTCCGTTTCATGTATATTTGTAAAGTACCCCGCGACAAAAAATATATTCCTAAAGCGGGAGTTGTCTTTTTTTAAAAAGAAGGAAATCCTTCGTAACATTTTATGAAACAAACAAAACATTTAGCTCTCAATATTCCAATGATTATGAACAAAGTACGTCACCCAGGGGACAGGCATCTGTCGAACATTGTACTGTATAGCCTATTGTTTGTTTAAAAATATACATCTTTGATCGGCTTTCTGTTATTCTATTCTTTTCAGCAATCATTGAAATGGGTGTACGATCACTTAGAGATTAAAGGGAAATAAAATATCAAGCATTTTATAGGACCGTAGCAATTATTATATTTTGAGCATAAACAGTTTCAAATTACCAATTTATGCTTGAAATATGTTTTTTTTTGCATAAGAGGGCAAACCAGGAGACAGGTAACCTCTGGTAAGCGACAAACGGTCAAAAGTGCGTTGCCAAATGCAGTCCCCCCTCCTCTAAATCAGGGGGATGGATGGTTTGGGCTCCAGTAACCTCATTTTCTTTTTGTGAGTCTGTGAGGTCGTGGTATCACTCCGGTGGAGTCAGCCCATTTGTGCCAAAACATCCCACGAAATAATTTAGATAGATAGTTATTTGTTACTACTAAATCAGTATTTCGCGGTCCCGGTAAAAATACATGTAAGGTAACAAACAATTTAAATCGATTTCCGCGAAACGGTCAGCCTATTTTTAAAACATAAAAAGTTAGAGAATAAATTGTAAGATTTCCATTTACCTTTGAGCGCTGGACAGATTCTTTTCCATAGCGTGAGGCAACCACAGCGGTGGTACTGGCCCAATGCGAGCTCCATGAAGAACAACGGCAGACCACCAAACAGTAACATGATGCAGTACGGTATGAGGAACGCACCTGTGCAGAAAGAATCCTTTAATTATACCTATCGAAACATCAACAGCCTTTCATAGTCCACTGCTGGACATAGGCCTTTCCATAGAAAGGAGGTTTTGGCCTACTATAGACGGGTAGGTATAGGGTTTGTTTCAAGTTTTCTTTCTCTTTTCAGTACTGTTGACCTGCGTAGTTTGCTCCCTTAGTCGGCTCGTACGACACCCACGGGATGAATAGAGATGGTGACACTACGTATTCTTAATCCACACCACACGGACAACTTGATTCGATTCTAATGAATTTACAATTTAAAAAAATCAATTATAGGTATGCGACTATTGCTTATCATGAAAAGTCATGCTTCGACCAATATGGACCAGGCTCGACCGGAGTGATACCACGGTCAGACAGAAATCCGGTGTTCAGCAGTTTTTTAATTGGCTATCACCGAGGTTATAGGAGGAGGGGGGGGGGGGGATGGCTGAAAGGGCGGCACTATTGAATTTTGCGTGCACGTGTCCATGGGTTGCCGTAGTCAAGGCCAAGACGGGGCCTAAAAGGGCGCCGAGGAGCGGAGTGGCATTCCCTCCGCTCCCCACTCCGACACCCCTGCCGGGCCCCTCCGCACCTGCCCCCTCCAACGAGGGTTGGCAGGAGGCGAGGGGCTCCAAGAAGTCCCGAAGGCGGGCCAGAAAGGCTGCCCAAAAAGCAGCCCAAGCCCAGCCTTCGCCACCGGTGGCAACGGCCTCTGCAAAGAGGCCGCGGAAGCTGCAGCCGCCCAAAACCGCGGCTGTAGTTGTGACCGTGTCCCCGGAGGCGGCTGACGGCGGGCTGTCCTATGCGGCCGTCTTCAAAAAGGCCCGGGACAGCCTCGCCAACGAGTTTGGGACGGTGGGGGTCAGGATGCGCCTCGCCCAGACGGGAGCTCGAGTTCTCGAGTTCCCTGGGGCTGAAGGCGCAAAGACGGCGGACTCCTTCGCTGAGAAGCTGCGGGGAATATTTGCAGCCACAGATGGTGTCAGGGTCGCCAGGCCTACCAAGTGCGCGGAACTGCGCATCTCGGGCCTGGACGACTCAGTGACGGCCGAAGATGTCCGCGCTGTAATCCGGGAGAAGACGGGGTGCAGCGCGGACAACGTCAGGGTCGGCACCATCCGCCCCGGTCCAGGAGGGCTTGGCGCCGTGTGGGTCAGCTGTCCCGTAGCGTCGGCCAAAGTATTGGCCGACGCCGGCAGGCTGCTCATCGGTTTCGTGAGCGCCAGGATCACAGTCCTGGCGGCGAGACCGATGAGATGCTACAAATGCTTAGCATCGGGACACACGCGCGTCAAGTGCGACAGTTGTTTTGACTGCGGCGGACTGTGTTTCCGCTGCGGTCAACCGGGGCATAAGGCGGCAGAATGCTCTGCCGCCCCTCACTGCCCAGTGTGTGCGGCGGGCAATAAGCCCGCCAATCACCAGATGGGGCAGAGAGGCTGCAAGCCTCCCCGCAGTTCTCGGCAGACGTCGGGGGTTAGCCAGTCGACCCAGGCTGCCTCCGATATAGTTCGTGCGTCGACGTCGTCGCCCATGGAGGAGGTTGTAGAGACGATCCAGTAATGGATCAAGTCTCCAACCTCCTGGTCCAGACGAACCTGAACCACTGTGCCGCGGCGCAGGATCTCTTCCTGCAAACCATGGCACAGTGGTCGATAGGTGTTGCCGTAGTCGCGGAGCCCTATTCTGTCCCTCCCCGTCCAAACTGGATGGGTGACTGGGACGGCTCCGTGGCAGTCGTCGGTTCCACGACGGCTCATTCCCCGCCCTTGTCGCTAAGAGACAAGGGCACTGGATATGTTGCCGTCGAGTGGGGGGGGATCACCATATATGGTGTCTATTTCTCCCCCAACCGGAGTTTGAACGACTTCGAGGTTTTCCTAACCAGCTTGGAGACCTCGATACGGCGACTAGCGTCTGGGCACGTCCTTGTGCTGGGGGACTTCAACGCAAAGTCCATTGCGTGGGGTTCCCCCAGGACGGACGCCAGGGGCGAGGCCGTAGAGGAGTGGGCGGCCTCGGTGGGCCTCTGTCTTCTAAACAGAGGCTCCACCAACACGTGCGTGCGACAGCAGGGGGGGTCGATAGTGGACCTCTCGTTCGCTACCCCTGCCCTCGCCGCACGAGTAAGGAACTGGCGTGTCCTGGAAGAGGTTGAGACGCTCTCGGATCACCTGTATATCCGATTTGAGCTCTCCCGGACCCAGGACTCCAGTAGGGGTCACGTGGCGCGGCGTTTATCCCGCTTTCCGCGGTGGGCTGTTGCCAGGCTGAACCGGGACCTACTAGAGGAGGCAGCCATAATTCACTCGTGGCTGTCTCCTCAGGCTCCGACCGAGGAGGTCGACGTGGGGGCTGGCCGCTTTCGCGATGCGATTACGCATGTATGCGATGCGGCCATGCCCCGCGTTCGAGGTCGTCGGCCTCCAAGGAAGGAGGTCTACTGGTGGTCCCAGGAGCTGGCGGACCTCCGTGCGGCCTGTACACGTGCCCGGAGGTCCTACACACGCAGTCGGCGGCGCCACCGTGGAGACGGTGAGGAGGACCGGCTTCATGAGGAGTACCGGCGGGCGCGGAAAACTCTGAAGCTGGCCATTAGCCGCGCCAAAGAGGAAAAGAGACAGGAGATGCTGGAGGGTCTTAATCGTGACCCCTGGGGTCGCCCTTACCGCGCGGTGCGACAAAAGCTCCACGCGTCGGGCCCCCCCCTTACGGAGACTCTCCAGCCCAGCTTCCTGCGAGAAGTGGTTGAGGGCCTTTTCCCACAACGAGCGGAACACACTCCCCCGTCGATGGCCTCCCTGGCCGGAGACGACGGGGAGCACGGGGAGGACAATGTTCCGCCCGTCCGGGATTCGGAGGTAGGGGCGGCTGTTCTACGGATCCGTTCCAAGAACACCGCCCCTGGGCCAGACGGGGTACCGGCCCGAGTGCTGGCCCTGGCCCTCAACCACATGGCAGACCGCCTCGGGGAGGTGTTCGACGCTAGCTTGGCGTCGGGACGCTTCCCTGAGTGCTGGAAAAGCGGGAAGCTGGTCCTATTGAGGAAGCCGGGACGGCCAGCCGATTCGGTCGCGGCCTATAGGCCCATCGTGCTGCTGGACGAGGCGGGCAAATTGTTTGAGAGGGTTCTTTCTGCCCGCATCGTCCGGCACCTCTGCGAGGTGGGCCCCGATCTGTCGGACGCCCAATTTGGTTTTCGGGCGGGGCGTTCGACAGTCGACGCCGTGTTGCGCCTGAGGGCCGTGACCGAAGAGGCCGTGAGCTGTGGCGGCGTGCTGTTGGCGGTGTCATTAGACATCGCCAACGCATTCAATAGTCTGCCATTCAGCTGCATCAGGGAAGCACTCCACTATCATGGGGTGCCAAAGTACCTGAGGCGGCTAGTGGCAGACTACTTAGAGGAGCGTACCGTCGTGTACGAGGACCGAGAAGGTAATTTGAGGAGTCGGCCCATGTCGTGCGGTGTTCCACAGGGGTCTGTTCTTGGACCCCTCTTGTGGAACATAGGGTACGACTGGGCCCTTCGCGCCGATTTCCCCCCCGGGCTGGGTGTAATCTGTTACGCAGACGATACCCTCGTGACAGCCCGGGGGGCAAACTTCCAAGAGGCGGCGCGCCTGGCCACAGGGGGAGTCTCCCTGGTGGTCGGGCGCATTGAGGCGCTGGGCTTACGGGTGGCCCTAGATAAGACGGAGGCCCTGTTATTCCATGGGCCCCGTCGTGGTCCACCCCCTGGCGCCTCCATCGTGGTCAACTCGGTCCTCGTACCGGTTCGGGCCCAGATGAAATATCTGGGCCTGATCCTCGACGGGAGGTGGCTCTTCGACGAGCACTTCCGACAGCTTGCTCCAAAGCTGGTCGGCGCTGCGTCTGCCCTAGGGCGACTCTTGCCCAATATGGGTGGACCCAGCGTCGCGACAAGACGGCTGTACACGGGGGTTGTCCGGTCAATGGCACTGTACGGTGCACCGGTGTGGGCGGCGGCTCTGACCGCCCAGAATAGGTTACGCCTCTGGCGCCCTCAGAGGGTAATGGCGGTCAGAGCCATACGCGGTTACCGCACCGTTTCGACGGAGGTGGCGTGCGCATTGGCCGGAACTCCCCCGTGGGATTTGGAGGCGGAAGTGCTCGCCGAAGTTTATCGGCGAGTGGCTGACTTCCGGGCGGAGAGCGGATTTCGCCCTCCGCCCGAGGATGTGCGCGAGTGGCGCGAAGCCGCTCGCCGAGCCACGATGGCTCGTTGGTCGTTCCGGCTGGAGACTCCACGCGCTGGCTTTGCCGCCGTGGAGGCTCTCCAGCCGGTCATCGCCGAGTGGGCAGGGCGGCAGCACGGGACCCTTTCCTTCCGGCTGACGCAGGTGCTTTCCGGGCATGGTTGCTTCGGAAAGTACCTGCACACGGTCGCTAGGAGGGAACTGAGTCCCGCCTGCCACCACTGCGACTGCAGTGAGGACTCGGCCCAGCACACGCTGGCGGTCTGCCCCGCATGGGCGGCGCAGCGCCGGGCCCTCACTGCAGTCATCGGAGTGGATCTCTCGCTACCGGCCGTAGTACGCTCCATGGCCGGTAGCGACAGTTGTTTTACCGCGGTCGCAACCTTCTGCGAGGTAGTAATCTCGCGGAAGGAGGCGGCGGAGAGGGCCCGGGAGGACGACCTCCACTCGGACCCGATCCGCCGCCGGCGAACCGGGCGGCGGAGGCCCGGCTATCACAGCCTCATGCCGCCCTGAGTGTGGCCGCGGGTGGACGGGGTGGGTTTCCCCTCCACCCGCATTAGTTGGCCAGCCGCGAGGGGGCGGCGTCCGCGTGTGCCGGACGTCGCCTATAGAGAGGAACAACACTGAGAAGGAGCCCGCACCAGGAGCGGGCTGGCGCTAGGAGGGGTCCGGATGTCTTAACAACAGCTGTTCCCGGATCCCTCCTGTTACAGGCGCAGAGTGGCACACCGTGTGGTTTTAGTCGGTCCGAGTCCGACACACCACCCCGCCGCAAACCCCGGAGGGGTGACGGTCCGAGGGGATTTCCACACGTTAAAAAAAAAAAAAAAAGTCACTGACCATCAGGTGGTCTCTTGTTTTGGCCTACTATGTATGTATTGCCTTAATATTGTGTACATTTGAGTGGTGCTGTGTGCTGTAGATTAAAAAATAATGTACACAGCACAATAGATAATAAACACACAACACGATGTTGAATTGTGTGCAAAACGTAAACCGAGCACGTCTCGCCCGTAAAACATAAATATGATTGCTCAGCGAAAACTGTAGCTCAGTAGCGATGAACAGAAATAATATTTTATTACCCCATTTTTATAACAGTTTGAGCATATTTCTAGTTAAATAAAAAAACGTTTTTTTAATGAAAAACTAGGCGCTTAACATATTTTAAAATAAAATATGCTTAATTTTCTTGCTTTAAAAAAGTACAACCCATTTAATTTTTGCCATTTTATATTAGCTTTAAAACGTATGGTGATAATAAATTAAAAGAAGTGTGTGTGTGCAATTCACACATGGCAGAAGTGAAACTTCAGCAAAAAATAATTTTATTAAATAAAAATATATACACAAATATTATTGTGTGTAAAATCAATACAAATAATTTACTAATGTTAATAATGAACAATGGCAGAAACATATTTACCTAAAACTTAAGCGTTTAAAAAATCGAGTCACAGTAAACTTAATCAAATTTTTTTCTATGATTTATCATTACACCACCATGTGTTGTATAAGTCTTATAAGAGATAAGATATTTTTGAAGATTTTATTTGACCTAAGTACGTAATGTCAGAATCGCCATCACGTATAACTGACTAGGGATGCGTGGTGGCAGTATTATATTATGGAACAATTTTTCGATAATCGATTCTTATAGCTTTGGCTGAAATATTTACCGAAGGTTCACTATTATGATTATGAATTTGCTTCTGCCCACGTCTTCACTCGTACGGTAGAGTGACTGAATCAACATAATTAGAAATGATTTAAAATATTTTTGACTCTCTTTAAACGATTTTAAACACACTAAAGAAATAGAATATAGTTGCGTTATTTTCCGAGAAAAATACATTGTCATTGATAACGGCACATAAATAGACATACATCGATATTTTCAAAATGTCGATACGTCGTCGTTTAGTACATATCTCTTAATCTGTGGTTTAGATCCTGTCAAGTTCCGGACTCACCACGTTTGTTATTTTATTTTTGTTTAATTTAGTGTTAAACTCGAATAGATGTCATGCTTTTATTTTTTTTATTTTATATACTGTAATAATAATGAAAATAATATTTTTGGCTATCTGACACACAACGCCATCTAGTTTCAAACAAAACATTAACAATATGTTAGTACTTAACCTCGAAACATTCAAAATCCAATATCTTTTTTCCTAGACTTCTTTTGCAAGTAATTTTGATATGAGAATGGTCAAGAATAAATTCTTAAGTGTTAAGGATTTTTTTATATTTAAACGCTAACATTTCAGTTCAAATAAAATTATGTATGGGGACCTGCCATTGTCCTTTAAATTTAGATAATTTATATAAATAAAAATTATTGGTTAAATTATTGTTGTTTATGTTACACCACGTTGTTTATGACATATTTTCTGAAGGCTTCTTTGTACGATGGCGTAAAGACATGTGATGGCATAGAGGATACGAATATTACCTTTACAGAAAACACTGTATACTTGTAATCCGTCTCATTCTCTCGCAGGCTAAATCCTATTCATGAATATGTTTGTCTCTTTTTACTGTCGCTTTTTCGTTTCATCGAATTATCAAATCACAACGGTGCTAAAGAAGGTAACATCAAAAATACAAATGGGATTGTTTTTCTTTAATAATTTCATGGGTAAATCGTGATGGTGATGAAAAATAACTACTGCCACCTATGGCCACCAGTTACTTCAGAGATATAAGTGCGTCCTACTGCACCATAAAAACCCCCCACAAGGGTTCCTAGTACAATAAAGCAACATACAAATGCAAAAACGTCTGTGTCAGCGCCAGCGCCAGCAACGCATCAAGTTTGTCATTGTGCTGAATTTACTGGAACTGATCTTGTTCAACTTAGAACTAAGGTAAAATCGTTTGGGATGTTTTAAGTATAAATATAATAGCATTAAATCCGCAACTTATTAACGGCTTCAATAACGATTTGTAGTTATTTTTTTCTTCTAAGCAAACGTATTGGACTTAATTTTCTGCTCAAAGTCCACTTTTTAACGAATTGTATGTTTAAGAAGACCTGGTGCGCTGGGTCCTTGTCGGAGTTGGTGACATTTTTATTGTAACTATAGTAGCAGGTGATCGTTCCGAGGTGATGAGCTCTTAGGTATGTCTAAGGGCTAAGAATATGTATGATTATGACCTTTAAGCATTTAAATTAGTGCCTTTAACAGATTTTCATACACGAGCCAATTTAATTTGTGTTACAATAAATTACCAAAAAAATACATGCACAATTATGTAAACTAAGATTTTTCTTAAATATGTGAGTAAAAAAATGTCTTACCGCCACCATTTTGATAGCAGATGTAAGGGAAGCGCCAGACGTTGCCCAGGTCGACAGCGAACCCCACCACCGCGAGCAAAAACTCAGCCTTCTTCCCCCAGGTCTCGCGCTGACGCTCCGGCGTTAGTGACACCACCACTGAACGAGTCTTCTGCGCCTGCTAACAGTCGTTAAGGAATAATCTCATGCAGCGGTTGTTTATGTATCACAAGTAAACCTCCGCTGTGTTTTCTTTACTCACGATAGCTTTTTAGATGGTCAAGTGTGTGTGTGTGGTGAAGTGCGTTCATTTTGTGGAAGTTGGACGCCACTGGTCCTCGTAAAAACTATGCATAGACTTGATTTTATTTTTCATGTAACAGAAAAACAGGTGCCTGGATTTCGCCTAAATAGAGAGTTTTGCCCTGAAGTGGTGACCACGCTATTGTCGGCCGGCGCTAGGGGTCCTGACTTACTAAACGGCTATTCCTGAATCCCTCGTGGTTCAGACGCACCGTATGGTGTTAGTCGGTTTGATTCTGACCCACCGCCCTACCGCAAAACCACACGACGAAACGGCAGTAAAACACTTTCTACCACAGTGCTACTGTGAGTAGTTACTGTGATTACTACTCATATCTGAACTTTTCGTATACGTCTTAAAGCATAGCAATAGCGATGCTCACGGATTATAATACTCACATTGATGGCTGTTGGTGGGTCAGGTGGTGGCGCAGTAGGCGCGGGAGGCGCGTCCGAAGGCGGCATCTCTGGCGATTCGGACTCGCCGTTGTGCCGCTCCGGCCCGGGGCTCCCGCCCTGGAAGTTGAAGTTGATGTATACTTGTTCAAAACTCGTAGATGTAGAATACACCAACATGGAAAACTTATGTGTTACAAAAAATTACGAAGAAGATACTTTAATATGAGCATTAAAATTGGTTTTGATTCTGACAATATCCTTAACTAGAAGTTGTTTTAAGCTTTCCCGTATTTGCCCTTCTGGTTTTAGTGTTTTGCGCTTTGAAAGACTTATATAAGATGCAAGGAAGATATGTTCATGCATGTTTACATACATAAAGCATACATTCACAGAAAAAGTTTGAAAGTTAAGTTAGTAAGTATAGCTTTATGACTCAGTTTAAGTCTTCGCCTTCTAAAACTTTATTTGCTTAGCCAGCCAGCTTAGACCGACATTCACCAAAGTCAGTAGGTTATTATAGATCCGAAGAACTAACTTAAAAACTAATTAGGTAAAACTAAAACCAGTTCTTTTATTCTGGGCGAAAGGCTCTAAATATCATAACCGTCCTACAAAGGTGTGTGCAAACTAGCATGTTAATTGGTTGATAGTAAATGCATGAAAATAAACAATACAATTTTCCTTCTCATTCAATATTATTATACTTAGAACAAAACGGCAGTATTTGCTACAATTCCTTTTGTTCTTATTCTAACTATTATACAATTTCTTAGTTCATTCTGTTTTCCATTTTTTGTGCTATTTCAGTTTCCATTTAAACAGCACGTTCACAAATATTTTCAAGTTCAAATCACTCCATGAAATCGCGTTAAATTGCATTCCGAAAAATAATTTTGTTTACGACGAGATTTTTCAGAGAATTCTCATTATTTTTGTTTGTCTAACATCAAGCTAGTAAGTCCACAGTATTGTACAGTACGGGTGTTTATGTGGCGGACAATTTGGCGTGTTTGCCGAGACACCCGTCGCAAACATTGCTGGCCACCGCAAGATTGCTTTGCAAATAAAAATAATGAAAAGTGACTCTTGTTATAGAAGTGGAGTTTAAAGGTTAACGCTTTTTAGAAGTCATTATTGAAGAAAAATATATTAGGTTTTGTAGAATGTACAAATTGAGCCTGGAATAACGAAAATTCTAGAAACAGATAGAAAAAAATAAACTGTTTATCAACAACATAAATAAAGAAATAGTGTGGGGTGTGGGAATGTCAAGCAAATTTAAATGGTATTGTGTTGATACAAGGTTCAGTGAAAAATAGACACGACATCCTCGTGATACGTTTACGTATTACGTTTTGTACGTAACAATCATTATTTAAATCAAAAATAAAAAATAAAACTAATTTATTTCTAACACACTTTCTAGTATAGATATAATAATTAGGTATATTTAACTTGCTTGACAATAGCGTGAGTTTATTTCTATATATATTGTCACCGGCAGTATTAACGGACCGAAGCGACCTTCAAACCTTCAAAAAGAGCGCGCTTCCAGTGTTAGCGCGGTTATACAACTGGGCAATTAGGATAAAATTATGTAGGTAGATGAAGAAATTATTAAGTTTCTCCTGCATAATTCTTCACGCCTTCTGTCGTTACCTTGAGTTGCTCCCATCTGTTACTTATCTCGTTCGTCCATATTCTATAAAAAAGAGTCTTCTATCTCACTGTTTCGGTGATCGAGGTCGTGCACCACACGAAATAATAATAACAACTGCAAAAATCTAATATACGGCATTCTGATCCCAAAATAGGCACAGCCTGGATTAGTTAGCCGGCCTGTATTATTTAGTAACCAACACTCAGACACAGAACAAATGAACGACCGGCAGTCAGGGTTACTAACCACTAGACCAACATAAGAATAATAATAAGATAATATTCTAACACAACGCCATCTAGTCCCAAACTAAGCAGAGCTTGTACTATGGCTACTAGACAACTGATATAAATACATACATACTTTTTTTATGTAAATACATACATATTATATATAGAAACACCCAGACCAAATCGAATATTAAATGTTCATGCACACAAATACTTGACATGAGCGAGAATCGAACCCGCGACCTTTGGAACATCAGACCGTTACACAAACAACTACGCTGGTCGTCAAATGCAATTTAAAGGTAAATGATTCCATTAATTTCATTCCAACTTTAAACGTTTGAGTGAAAATATTCCGTTAAGTCTACGGGGTACTCCACACAATAGAATTAAACGCCTCAGTCTCAATAAAACTATCGACACTCGTTTACTGGCACAAATTTAGTCACTCTTCGTTAGCCTTGTCTATCATATTAGCGTTAGTAATGGTTCCCTACTCTTCCCAAGCGTGAAGCGGCGAGGGTCTTCAACCAGTCAGCTAATACATTCCGATTTAATTAAAATTGCCAGTATCATTGGCCAAGCCTAATTCCTATAAGTGAATTGTTTTTATTTCGTACACGGAATATTTGTTTGAGAATTCTTACTAATATTATAAATGCGAAAGTAACTCTGTCCGTGTGTCCTGTACTAAACCGTTGAACAGATTTTAATGAAATTTGGAATGGAGATAATTTGTTTCTTTGGGAGGAGCATAGATAAGCTTTTAGTTTAGTAATTTAGATTACTTTTTAGTTCTATATAAAAATATTAAATTGGTTTGTGTATGCTTCACAAATTGAAGAAGTTTTGCACCGATTTAGTTCAAGTTTTGACACGATAAACAACCCGCTTTTTTATGTTAAAAGGGGCAGACGAGCAGACGGGTCAACTGATGGAAAGTGACCATCGCCGCCCATGAACGTCTGCAACTGAGGAGTCACAAACGCGTTACCGGCCTTTTAGGAAGGAGTACGCTCTTTTCTCGAAGGTTTGAAGGTCGTATCAGTCCGGAAATACCGCAGACGATAACCCGTTCCATAGATTGGTGATGCAGGGCAAAAAGGTGTCTCGAAAAGCGCACAGTAGTGGAGCGCTAACAATCCAGGTAATGCGGATGAAAATTTTGCCGCGTGGAACGATGGCGGAAAGTTACGGCTGGTATTAGTCCGAACAATTCCTTCTTTAAATATGGCTGTTATTCTCATTTCTCACACAATGTGCCACAGAGAACGTGGCAGGGCACAGCTAGTATATTTCTAAATCCATACACATTTACCCAGGGAGACAGAACATATGACTCACAATATTTTTTCTGGGTGAGAATCGAACTCACGACTGCGTTTTTAGTAGTTAAAGATAGCTAACCATTGGCCCAACAAGCCCGTTATAAGGTTTGTTAAAATGTGAACTTCTTGTAACATTTAAAGGCACGCCACAACATGTTAAATAATGACGAACATTTGAAAAATAAAATGCAGATCGCACAAAAGCAAACTGTAAGACTTTACGACGTATTAAGGGTTTTATTGTCCATAAAGCGGACGATACCGTTACTCAATGGCTTAAGGATCTAAACAGTAATCTTTTAATGTGTAATTTGGGTATTTCCGTATGTGAATATATAAGAGTTAACAACTTGATTTAAAGTACAGTACAATTGAGGACCGGGCTATCGTTTTTTTTTTTTATGTTAGAGGGGGCAGACGAGCAGACGGGTCACCTGATGGAAAGTGACCATCGCCGCCCATGAACGTCTGCAACTCAGGAGTCACAAACGCGTTGCTGGCCTTTTAGGAAGGAGTACGCTCTTTTCTTGAAGGTTTGAAGGTCGTGTCGGTCCGGAAATACCGCAGACGATAACCCGTTCCACAGATTGGTTGTGCGGGGCAAAAAGTGTCTCGAAAAGCGCACAGTAGTGGAGCGCCAACTATCCAGGTAATGAGGATGAAAATTTTGCCGTGTGGAACGATGGCGGAAATTTGCGGCTGGTATTAGTCCGAACCATTCCTCGGAGCACTGTCCATGATATAGTATTACTAGTATTCTGTGTATAGTTTCTATTTTCTTCTTCTTCTCAGCTGAAAGATATCCATTGCTGGATAGGCTTCCACAGACGCTTTAAATTTTATCATCGTCTTAGGGGTCGGCAAAATATTTAACATTATAAAAGCGATTTGACTGGTAGCCAGATTTGAGTAACGTTAACGAATAGAGCGAGGACGCTGGGCAGGCAGTCGGGGAGGTTTTTAGTGTAAACACCACATTCTCCTGGCTTCCGGAGCCGGTGATCCGAAGGGATTTATCACTCCGTCACCAAAAAAAAAGGTTTAGGGATTTTATGAGTTTGGGATGGGAAACGAGACGGTGTTAGGCTTTTATTTTGCCGCTTTTCACAGAATTATTGATTAATTCATATTTAAATTTAAAAAAAATATACTGTACTGTCACTGTCACTGTAGAAGAGGCATGCTTTGGCACGACCGCAGTGATACAATGGCCTCACAGTAGACGGGTGTAAAGCATTTTTTCGTAGCTTTTCTGCAATTACTGAAGGCCCAAAGCTCCCCACCCTTATTCTGGGAGAGGGGGGAAGGGGGGGGGGGTAGCACATGATGTCTTTTATGAAAGTGAAATAAAATATTTGATCGAATTTATTACTTTATTACCTCAATAATCAAAGTATCTCCCCGTCGAATTTCATTAAAATCGGTTCAGCGGTTTAGCTGTGAAAGCGTAACAGACAGACAGACGTACTTTCGCATTTATAATATTTGTAAGGATTACTTTACTTATCAAACTGAAATCCTGAACAAAGATTATTCTATTTCAAAAAGGTTTCTCGGGATCATGCTATTGAATAAAACAAAATTAATTTGAATACTGATGGTATTTAATTATAAAAGAAATGTTTATTTAACGCAGACGTTTTGAGTAACTGAGTTGTTTTATTCAATTCTGTGTAATCCAATCAGGAATAAGTCAACAGTATTTTAGATTAGAACTGATTTAAGATTTCGTAAAGTCTATATCTATAAATGAGACATAGACTTTATGGTGTAGGGGGCAAACTAGCAGACGTATCAACTGATGGTAAGCGACTAAAACCGTATATAGACAGTTGCAACTCAAGAGACCTTAGTGCGTTGCCCTTTTTTGAGAGCAAAAGAAGATGAAGATGGGAAAATAGGGATTATTATCAGTCTTTAATAGTCGATTGATGGTCATAGGCTTCTCCTTAGAAAGGA